GCATGGTTTTGCTGTGTACTTACCCAAATACATATCTCTTAAAAATTCAAACAATATAAAATGAAATACGTACAGTATACCGGTATAACATATTTTTATTATGCTAAACAAATTTATTTAAAGTACGTATAAGATTAGAATTAATTAATAAAATTTTGAGAATAATAGTATTTTTAATATTTTTATTAATAAAATTATATTATCAAAATTTTACTAATTGATTCTAACTTCATACTCTAAGTTAACTTGTTTAGCACCCAAAAATACATATACTGTATTTATATTCGAACTCAACTCAAACTTGATCAAAAGTTTAAAACATCAAAGTTTGAGTCCGGTTCAAAAATCAAAACAAAAGTTTAATTTGGTCCGGTTCGATAGGAGCACTATTCTATGAAAATGCACCGAGTGCATAGGTGTACTTTCTAATTTTTTATATATGTCAGTTATACAATTGCGGTTAAATGATTAAATGGTAAAACGATTAATATGGTTAATCGCGATTAAACGATTAATAAAAATTTTCCGCGGTTTTCTAATCATTATCAAAGTCATGTCATAATTGTTCATAATCATTTACTAATCAAAAATTACACATAAACCAATTTAAAGTCGACAACAAACTTTTTATTAGCCCTTGCACATGATTTATAAATACGATTAGGTCGATAATTTCTTGCCCTTTACGTTACCATTCAGACATTGTAGTTTAACTCCTATTTTATTTTGAAAATCAATTATATTGGGCATCAACAGTTTGAGAAATATTCATTACTGCTCATTACTGAAAATATTATAAAAGCAATCTATTATTTATTTATTTATTTTTTTTTTACTAGTTTACATATCAGCTAAAGATCATAATCTGAGATAGGGTCAAATGATTATGGACTGAGTTCCGAAACCATTTGCCCCAATATTTCGAGGACCGGCCCGTCTTTAACCACGAAACTCCATAAATGATGATTTAGTAGTACTATTGAATAATAATATTGTTATTATTAGGCAATCAAGGAGATTATCAGGAATCTAAATGTAAAACTCACTTGATAGAAGTATTTGTTCCGCCGAAACTATTTCCACTCGCACCTAAAATAGCATTATTACTAAATAAAATAAAAAAAAACCCAATTTAATATACTAATAATAACCTTACGATTAAACCCAAATACAAACTTACCCACTATTCACACTCCCAAATGCATTATTGCTAACAAAAAAAAAAAGAGAGAGAGAAAGAAAAAGAATTATATTACGTCGTGAATTTAAATTATTGCATCAATAAATTATTACCTTGCAAACCGAGCAAATCCGCCACCACTTGGAGGTTTCAAATTTGCGGAAAGTGCGGAAGGAGTTCCAAACGTCCGCGTTTGTCCAAAACCATGTTGTCCAAATGCTGGCTGTCCAAATGCTGGTTGCCCAAATGCTTGTGCATTAGGTGCACCAAGTGATGATTGTCCAAAGCCAGTTTGACCAAACGATGGTTGTCCAAATGCTTGAGGAGGATTAGCAGATAATGAACTAAATGCATTTGCATTGCTAGGTTGTGTTGCAAAAGCTGGTGGAATACCTGTGGCATTACCGCCAGGTTGTAATCCTGCTCCAAACACGATAGGAGCAGATGTTGCTGTACCAAATGTCTGCTTACCAAAAGCAGGAGGAATACTAGTAGAAGTGCTTATAAGTGACCTATCTCCAAACAAACCAAAACTGCCTTGCGAACCAGATGCATTATTTGTTCCTGATGGTTCACCTAGCCCAAATGAACCAAAATTTTCAGAGACCCCCATTAATTCATTACTATTTTTATCTTCTTCAATTGTATCAGGCACTAATTGTAGTGCTCCAGATTTGGAATCTTCCTCAAAATGGTCATAAGCCTGTTTAAGTTCGGAAGCTTTTGACAATCCGGATACATCAGGCGCGACAATTTTCGATTCAACAGAATCTTGAGTTTCATCCCGATAAGAATCCGAATATTGTACTTCTTTACCTTGATATGAAGGTGTCGTTTCAAGCGTTGATGACTCCTGTGTTGTCTCACTATCCTTAGAGATAAATGTAGGTATAAATTTCGGTGACACCCGATACAAGTTTAACTCATCAGATTCCACAGTCTTATCGCCATATGATAGGGATGACTCTGACTCTATTTCGATAGGTTCTTGGAATTTGACGCTTGATGACACTTCCGCTGCATGGTCTGTTTCTTGAATTCCCAGGTTTTCGGGAAGAGAATATATATCGTCGTGAAGAAATGGTCGTCTGTCCTCATAGTCTTGGTATATCTCAGTACTGTCTTCCACATTTTCCGCCTGATATGATAAAGGATAAACGCTCTTTCTTAGAGGACTCGTAATCGTTGTGCGTGAGCGATACGGCTTACTTTCATGAGTTGGATGAATTTGTGTTGGAGAAAATGCACGAGGCTTAAGCGCACTTGGACTTTTTTTGGGTGAAATTATTATTGGAGACATAGATTTTCTTTCAATAAATTCTGCAAATTTTACAAACGACATTTTAGTTTTTTTTTTTTTTTAAAGTGGAATAAAAGCATTTACCATCTTCATTTTCTTCGAAAATACTGTTTTTGACGGGACCCTTTCTATTAAATTTATTTATATTTTTGAGCTTTTCGCAAATACGTTCTTTATTAAGATAAGCAGCAGTTGCTTTCGCTGCATCAACTGAATATGAAATATTTTTAGTATATGTCTTATTTGGCTCAGTTCTATTGATTGTGTGAGATACAAATGTTTCACGATTAGAAGCATCGTCTCCAAAAGATATCTGCAGTTGGTCTAATTGAGCGCTCAATTGTTCAATTTGAGATGCATTACGGTACAAGCCTTTGCTAATGTTACGAATTGATCTATCAATATATTCCAAGGGGGATTGCCTAATTTTAAAGAAAATATAGATGTAAGCCAGTAAAATTACATAAATATAAATATTCATTATTACTTGCCTTATTGACTTGTTAGATTTTTTCTCTTGAATTTGATCATGTAATGCATTTAATTGTGTCTCCAAAGCTTGCGCACTTTCCTTAACAGTCTTTTACAAACACAAATATAGGTTGGTATATGAAATAAACGCTGGAAAATTGATGTAGCATCCAACCTTAAAAGTCGTTTCTAGCCTCTCTTTTATGCGAGATTGTAATATCCCACGACGACCAACAGTAATCATATTAGGTGTGTACATTAGGTGTTGAATATCTGTTTTTGTTTTGACAAGATCTATTCAATTAAAATTATATGAAGTTTAAATAAAAAAAGTTATATTCGTTTAATGACACTTCATCGAGGATATAATAATAATAATAACCTATTCGGACATCATGACTGTATTCATTAACTTGATTCCGCAAATCGACTAAAGCTTGAGTCATGGAGCTAGCTTCGTTCTCCAGTCGATTTATTTCTGATGTTATTACTGGTAAATCACCGATCGACAATGTCTCGAGATTATCGAGATTATCAAGATATTCTTCAGTTGTTCGATCATGATATTTTGCTATATAATTATTTCCCATATCTTCTATTCGGTTATGAAGCTAAAAAAAAGATACAAGAGTATATGAATTTTTGACAATATTAAAATCGATAAGACAATGTATGTCACTTCCTGCATACATCATTGATTTCATTTTCAGTAGCATTCAAGCGAATCATGTGAGGAGTCTTCATGTCAGTTTCAGTGGACGTCAATTGTTGGGTTGAGCCCAAATTGCGGGATGGTGTAGAAACCGGAGGTGATGATATAATTTTTTTTGGCGATAAAAAGTTTTTATCATAACTTGCGATTGATGCGAGACTACTAGTTGAAGGCTCTGTTTTAGTGGGAACAATAATTGGTGATGCTGTTTTAATAGGAGCGACTATAGGTGACGCTGTTTTGATAGGGGCAATGACGGGTGATGCCGTTTTGATAGGGGCAACTACAGGCGATGCCGTTTTGATAGGGGCAACTACAGGCGATGCTGTTTTGATAGGTACAACAATAGGTGATGCTGTTTTTATGGGAGCGATAATAGGTGATTCTGTTTTAACAGGAATAACGGCAGGCGATGGAGCCGTACAATTCTGTGCAATTACTGTAGAATCCTGCTTTGGAGGAAGCACTTCTGATGAATGCCCTGTAGTAGGAAGCACTTTGGGAGGCGTCATCCTAGAGAAATTTTCGTCCTTATGAAAACAACGATACGCGATTATGTCACATTCATCATTCAAGATATACAGTAGAGGTACCGGTGTACTGTACGTATTTCATTTTATATTGTTTGAATTTTTAAGAGATATGTATTTGGGTAAGTACACAGCAAAACCATGC